TGTGTGTGTGTGTGTGTGTGTGTGTGTGTGTGTGTGTGTGTGTGTGCTGCTCTTGAGGTGAAAGAGATCCTGATCCTGTTTTTTATTTTAATCTGGTGAAGAAAACACTAAACCAGCTCCGTCAGATGTTCGAGTCATCGCAGACGGTTCACAGCGAAGCAGCTGAAATGTGAGAAAACATTTTTCCGTCTTTCCAGTTCGTTTAAACTTTAGTTGTTTTTTTTAATGCGCTCGTCTAAAGACAGACATCTGTCCATCTCTAAACTTTCTCTTGTCCACTCATAACTTCTGATCCATTCAAATTGATATGACTCTGTACCACAACTAGACAGGAACATCAGCTCATGACCCAGCTCTAATGTCAAGGTCACAGGTCAAGGTCAAAGGTTATATAAGGACGTTGCTTGTCTGGGTCATTGCTTTAGACTGCTATGTAATAGTTTGTTGATGGGTGAATAACGTGCCGTGTGCGCCACCCTTGTTTTATTTTTGGAGCTCTGAGAACCAAAGAAAGCCCGGTTCTGATCCGTTTCCCTCTTCCTCACCATCAGGAGCCTCTGGGAGCCGACAGCAGTGAGAACTAAATTATGTGAGTTAAGAGTTGAAGTCCAAACGGAGTTCTTGTGACCCTGCGGCACCACGAGTTCATCCTTAGCGCCTTCAGTTCCCACGTGGACCAGTTTTCTCTTCAGTTGTGTTGTAATCAAACAGAACCCCCTCGTTTGTGGAGATCTGGAGCCAAGCTCCAGCTTTCAGGGGACAGTTTGGGCTCCGACCTTCTTCTCACCTCTAGTTGTGAATATAAAGCTCGTTTACTGCAGAGTGACTCGTCATTAACTCGAAGCTCGGCGCCTCAAAGGATCCTGCTGGGAGCGAGTTAAAGCAGAAGGAATAATCTCCGACCAAGGCGCTGGCGCTGAGCGGGACGTCAGCAGCTCCCTTCATCACGTTATGTTCATGTAATCCTCACGTGTGTGTTCCAGGTGGAGGAGATGAGCTTTAAGAACTACTACACGGCCTACCTGACGGTGCGTTTGTTGAGAAGGAGCCCCGAGCACAACGGCCTCGCAAAGTGGTGCACGGCTGTGAGAGACCTGCCTCTGATGGACAACCCCCACACCGAGGGGGGGTCCCAGGACTACTACTCCATTCACAGGACCCAGGTGGGCCACAGGGGTGTTCAGGTGACTTCAGGGTCCGATGATGGGATCATTTCTCTGTTGAACTGACAACCTTTCAGGTGAGGCCATTAATAATCTGAGAATCCACTGGATCTCTGTTAGATGTGACCAGAGAGCGAGTGTTTGAACAGCTGCTGCTACTGAACCTGTGGACAAGCCCTCAGTGCTCAGAGATGAGCCAGGAGCAGCAGCATGTTGCCTCCAGAGCAAACATCTATTTAAAGAACTCCTACAGATGGATTCTCTGAGCTTCGACCTCCTCCCTGTGAGCGCAGCTGCAGAGCAGAGTTTAGGAGCTTCTGTGAGGTCCATGCTCTGCCGTGAAGGACGATGTTGGTCTACACCTGCAGGAGGAAGACCGGTTCAACATCGTCTGGAGACATTTTGAAACAGCCGTACCTGGACAGGTGTTCAGACTGGCCGGCATGTTTAACCGACCCAACAGGACGTTGACATTTAAAATCTTCCTGCAGCTGTTTACTGATAAGAGTTTGACCTGGACCTGAGTTCTACTTGTTTTCTCGACGTGTACCCCGAGACCTTTGCTCTGCTCTTCAACGTGGTTTTATTTTCTTCTGCTCAGCTGAGAACAGAACCGTGAAGCAGGTCACGGTCGTCATTAAACTACACCCAGTTCTAAAACAGCCGGGCTGTGACGTAAAATGCAGATAAAAACAGAATTGAATGATTTGTAAATCTATTGTTGTTCCAAATGAAAGAAAGGAGACGCGTTGAAACTCAAACTGGAACCAGCAGATCTGCAGCTGAACACCTCATCGGGCTCGTTTCTCCTCTCAGGGTGTTTGAGTCGAGTCACCCTGAAATATAAACTCTGAGCTTCCTAATGTTTGAAACATGAAGACATTTTCAATCATCCGTTCTCTTTACTTTGTGTTTAACTCCCTGAGGAAGTCGAGCCAGATGGTCGAGAGCTGACTGCTGTAAAGAATAATTATCGTTGTTTCCATGAAGTTCGTTAAATGTTTATGGCTTCTTGTTTATCATATTTAACTTTATGGGGCTCTCTTGGTGAATATTGTCTTTATGGGCTCATAAACACTCGGGACCTGAAAAGACCTCCATTAAACTCCTCTGTGAAGTCAGAGCATCCGCCCGAGGCTTCGGGTTTTATCACCCCGCTCCCTCACAGTTCAGGTTCTTACAGTTCTTACAAAGTGGACCGGGTCACTCAGATCTTTGTGTCCTGTTGCAGATGCAGGTGAAGCCGGACCACGTGGTGACGCTGAGACTGATCCTGAGACAGCCGTCCTCTGCTTGGCTCACCTTCAGCCTGGAGGACATCAGAATTTTCCCCCACACGGAGCCGCTCACGGTCCAGTTCTGCTTTTTCTGTTAGAACTTGAGGTTCAGGTGTGAGTTTGAAGGATCTGCTGTAACGTTGTCCTTCATTCCAACCAGCAGGTGGCGCCAGACTAAAGCCTTTTAAAATATTTTAACACTTCCTGTTTCTGTTCCTCCAGGAGCCAGAAAAGAACGTTTCTGATTGGCTGTCGGAGCTGGTCCTGCTGGATAAACAGCCCCATGTGGAGGTACAGATCCATGTTTGAAGAGCACGCTTAATCTGAAATCAGGAACTTTGTTCTTTTCTTACTTAACGTTGGGTCTTCTATTAATATTTACTGAATGTTACGCACTTTTAGTAATCTTGTCTTTCTTCTTGAGATGTGCAGAACTCATGACCTTTAAAGGCTTTAACTCCCACTACACCCCTGCTTTTACATGTTCAAGCCTTCTTGTAGAACTTCTTCTGGTACTACTGACTGAATGATTTATTGTGAATATTTTAGTGCCTCACTCAACAGACACGTTAATGAGGGGAAATAAATCTTTGTTTTGTTTTGTTGGAGGTCCTGCAGGGCCTCCCAGACCCGCAGACGGTGTCTTCCAGCATCCAGCAGATGTGGGCTCTGACGGAGGTGATGCAGACCAACCAGACCACAGCCTCCATCGGGCGCTTTGACGTGAGTCCTTCAGAACTCCTGCAGTGGACCGGATCTGACCGGATCCAGCGTTACTGCAGCTAAAGACTCTGTGGAAAGACAAATGGTTTCAGATTAGTCCGTCCATCTGTTCATCTGATGGACATGACGCATCAAAGAGCGATGTATCAGATTTAATCAGGTTTAAATAATAAAACCGTCCTGAAAGCTTCTTGTAGCCAACAGAGACTAAGCAGCTCATCACATTTTAAACTTTATCAAAACAGATTTATAAAAACACTTTCCAGACTGCAGATGTGTTTTTACAGATGTGTATTGGATTTAAAAATTGGGACTTTCAGAGTCGATGGTGTAGCGTTTTATTTCAAACGTCCACTTTGTCCTCCAGATTATAGTTCTGGTCCTCGAGCAGCACCGTCCTGCAGGATTTAGCTGCTTCTCTGCTTCGACGCACCTGATTTGAATCAGTGGGTGATTAAGAGGCTCCTGCTGGACATCATGAATCAGGCGTGTTGGAGCAGAGAAACAACTGAAACATGCTGCTGAACCTGTCCTCTACCTGAAGCCTCAGGAAGATGATCGGTTCATGGATTTAATAAATGTTGTTGTTTGTTCTGCAGGTGGATGGATGCTACGACATCCAGTCCCTGACCTGACGTGGATCTTTGTGAGCGTGGCAGCCTCCACCAGTCCCTTCATCAGTTTCCATTCTCCACCAGTCCCTTCATCAGTTTCCAGCCTCCACCAGTCCCTTCATCAGTTTCCAGCCTCCACCAGTCCCTTCATCA